TTCAAAGTTTAATCACTAAAGAACATAATAAATAAAAAAGCATTCACGGATAAATTCTAAATTTTTATTTCAACAATAATTGTATATTTGATTTTACAAAGTTTTAAGATTTAAGAAAACATAAAATCTGTCAGAATTATATGAAGTACATGTACATTATATATGTATTTGAAACCTCCAGAAGGTGAGTACAGTTGAACCCCTCCTTGAAAATGGATGTAAATGATAAAATATCGATCACTCCCTTGTGTAAACCTATAGGGTTTAGAGCGGACATTTTATTTGAACATTTTCAACTTGGACTATATTCATATCATAATCATTTTAGTTATTAATAGTGAACTTAGTAGTGACAGTAAACTAAAATAAAAGTTTATTAAACAAGGATTTACATTATTAGTGTACCACATACAATGACTTTATAACTGGAAAAGGGACTTTATGTTCACCAACTATAATTATATTGTTAGATCAAATTGGACGTTGTGATTGATACAATGAACTATAATTTTGTAAACTCATTTGTAATGGAATTGATCAGAATAGACCAATCAAGCCCATCGATACTAAGTAATAAAATTTGAACGGAAATGTAAACTTACTATTAAGATTCTTGATTAAGAGTAATAAAATTGGGAACTTTGGAGCAGATAAGTAAAGGAGCCTAGGGCTAGAACTCCGGTGGTGCAGAGATGGAGAGTGAGTCCATAAATATTATTAATGAAGGTATACTTGAATTGGAGGGTGGTGCCATGTTGGGGTTCATAGGTCAACGGACAGACCTACGGACTAAGCGTAGGTGGCATGGCAATGTTAAGTCAGCCAATGAAAAGTACTTTTATATCCGGGACCATGAATACCCTCTGAGCACAAAATACCCTGTTTTGCCGGAAAACGGCATTCTGTTATTCTATTCTATTCTCTTTTCTTTGACCCTTTTGGAATACTTTTTGGACTCTAATTTTTTGGACCTCACATTAATTATTACTTTGGAGTTTTAGTTCTACGCTCTTTTTAAATATTTGGAAGGATCTTTAAAACTTTTGCTACAACCTGCGTATTGGTCTATTCTGGTGAAATTTCAGAAAAAAGCATTAAAAAATCTATACGATCACGGTTGTTTAATAAACTTTTCAAAAAACTTACAAATTTTGTTATTGGCTTACACCTGCTAAGTCAATTTGGTGCCGTGACCAGGATTTGCGAAGAACTGTGAATCAATTTAATATTTGTGAACAAGACTGAAAAAAACCAGGAATAACAAAATTCTTCATGGTCAGTTTGATACCTATGTCCACCGCGATGCGAAGTATAATTAAAATGTCTAACGGGAAGGGAAAATGTGGCAAGGTATGACGTAACTTTCTGATCCAGAAGTACATTGTATCTGTAGCCTGACCAAGTTTGGTTTTTTAAAATTATTTTTTCAGAAATATGTTTTGGCTAATTTTTGGGGTTTGTTTTAAAGAATATTTTGACTTATTTCGTAAAAGTTTTCGCACATATATCTCATGTTTCTCATTCAAGAAAAGCTTATGACGTTACTATCTCTGTCTTATGTACCAAAGGTGATTTTCTTCTGTACTTGTAGGAATTTAACGAAGGACGGTCTGATGCTCCAGTGACAAACTGTTCTTAATGGTTCGTTCATTGCCCAAATTCTTAAGCATGCTTCTGTAATTAACTCTAGGGTTCATGCTCATCAGACGTTCCTTTGATCAACTTCCAAGCATTTTGAAAGAGTCGGACATTAAACCTAGTTAATGCATATACATGTAGTATCCTCTCATTAAAGCTATAGCTATAGCAGATGTTTCAATAGAAGGATTATGACCCTCAAGTTTGCTACAAAGACCTACTAGTGCTAAAAAACATCATTTTCTTCTTAAACTTCAGTTCGTTGAATCGAATTAGAAGATATATTACGTAAAGTAACGAATCCCACTGCGGAACGTGGAGACCGGTCCTTCGGATGAGACCGTATAAACCGAGGTTCCGTGTCGCAGTAGAAGCTTGCATGAAAAAGATCTCTCACTTCTCAATGGCCCTGAGTGCCATAAAGCTTAATTTAACCCTCCACAAACTTCAGAGGGTTTGAAAAGTATCCTTTTCAAATTTTCAAACACTAAAGAGCATATAAAATAACATTCATGGTTAAATTCTAAATTTTTATTTCAACAATAATTGTATATTTTATTTTACAAAGTTTTAAGATACACGTATTTGAAAAACATAAAATCTGTCAGAATGACATCAAGTACATCTACATTATACATTTATCTGAAACCTCCACAAGGTGAGCACAACTGAACCCCTCCTTGGAAATCGATGTTAAATGATAAAATAAATATCACTCCCTTGGCCAATAAAAAAGGAATGAGATCCTTTTTATTCATGTACACTGTCGCCATTTTCACAGTATTTGTGCTAATTGTGTTGCACTTGGACCAAAAAATAAAAAGTCAAACAGCACATTATTGACATGTTTTCTAGAAAGTACAATACCTATGCAAATGAGTCCCAAATTTTTTTATATAAGCATTCTTACGAAAAAAGTTATGCGAAGTCAAATTTTGGGCGAGACCTTGTGTTGCGGACACTACATTACACCTGTTATGTCTAAAATAAAATATTAAAGATATTTATTTATTCCAAACTTCTTGCAGGTTTTGATTATGTACCTAATTGCAGTGAAATAAAAGAAAAATCTTATGGTTCTCTTTGAAAACAAAAATTTTATTCACATTAATGACTTGCAAATTTTTTTGTCTAATTTATCTCCCTTCCTTAAGTTTATCTACTTTTACAATCACACATGAGACCTACATAATTATCATGTGAAAATCAAATTGAATACTTCTAAATTTCAAATACATTTGTCATAACACCCTGGATATCTTCGTTTGTATCTTGTCTAGCTTTGAAAATGCATAGCATTTTTGTTGCGGACACTACAAGTAACCATAAGAATAATCTTTTGTCATTTTTATAAAAATAATTGTTAATAAATGTTCATTTCTAGGCTGAATTATATACCACCGGATCAACTCTTGAAAATGTATCATATAAAAAGATGCAGAATGTGGTTTATTGAGATGAAAATAACCACATAACAAGGACCATTAATTATTTCTTGATGTATAATTGTTTTGCAGTTTTAAAAAATGTCTATGATTTTACTTATTTTAAAACAATTAAAGAAGTTATAACAAATAGTTTTATAGATAAATTCAATGAATTAAAGAATTTACTGAGGCATCCATAATTTTTTTTCAGTATTGAAATTGTTGCGGACACTACAATATATTGAATATTGCTATATGACACCATATTTGGTTTTAATGGAGTAAACTGAAAATCTTAATCTCTAACTAGTTCTATATGTACAGTAAATGGTGTTATATTATAGGGAAATAAAAAAGGCTAGTCAAAAATGGCTATCCGGCCTGGAAAATAAAACCCATATATATACCAGTAAGTTTGAAGTGTTATCTTGTACAAAAATCACCCTTTGTTATCTTAATCCAGCTAACTAATTGTATTATCAAAGGAGCAAAATATCAGAGAAGTGTTTTACATTTCAAAAATATTTAATGAAATAAAAAGTGAAAATAATAAATGAATGTGGTATATAGTTATTACTGTAGTGTCCGCAACACAACTGTTTTAATTAGAACTAGACTTATTAACATCTAGATATATTCTTTAGTTTCCACTTATTCAGTTTTAAATACCACATGAAAATTAACTTTCAATATATAACATAAGACTGACAATTGATTTTGAATATTATGTATAAACAAGTCGTTATGGGTGTTATTCAAAGTATGAAGTTATAGTTCCACTAAGTTTTGTAACCTTACATATTTGTATTGAATATTTGGACAATTATAGTGATGATCAATTGAAATCATGTTACATTTCTTTGAAGAAACTTTGAATTTAAAAAGCTGTTGCGGACTCTACAGCGTTGCGGACTCTACAAAACACAATATATTTGCCAGAATTCCAAGCAACACTGAGCTAAAGTCTGATATTTTTTGGTAGATAGATTAGTAGCTGTACTGGCCTCTTACATGTAAAATAAAAGAAATATAATTCATAATGCATTCCAGAATAAGCACTTGTTGCGGACACTACAGAATTTTGGGACATTTTTATGCCAGTAAGAAGAAAATGTGTCATTTTCTAAAGTTTCGAAGAATCCACTAAAACTTTTCTTTATTGTTTCATTTATCATTTAACTCTAATTTTAAAATGAACCTAAAGTAAGAGTAATGCATTAACATATATTTTTTTAAACTGCAAGTTCAAACAGTAGAATTTTATTAAATTTCATAACGCATCTGCATTTTCACATATTTAAACATTATTTTGCTAATATTTTGTTGATTTACATACAGTAAATTGCATATAAAAGAGGGATAATTTCACAATGATTTGACATCTATAACTAAGAGTTTCTATTGTAAATCTCCTGAAACAAAAACTGGAAAACAAAGCCATTTTTCAGCTGCAACAGCATAACGCAAAATATACCCCATATTTTAGGTAGTAAATCTTTAATATTTTTATTGTCTAGAACATGGGAGTGTTATATATCATTTAACTTGTTAGGGGTACCATTTTGTCATAATTTGGTCATAATTGTTAAGGGTTTAATCATATATTTTGATGCAGAGTGCATTATAACATAAGTGAGTATGAAAAAACACAAATACTGTGAAAATGGCGTGTATGTTTCTCTTCTTGTTTATCAGAGATGGATTCAAGAAGTTTTTTCCCCTCTTTTTTTTCAGTGAACATATTCCTGCATACTTATCAATGCCTGTACATATAAGGAAAGAACATATAGTCTTTGAATCACTAGGTGTGTTTTACTCTTGTCAGTTATATATTTCGAAGAATTTTGAATCTAAGTACTCGAATGAAAATGATATTCGCCAGTTTTCAGGAAATGAACAGAGATCATGCTTCGATGATAAATTTTCCAAATGGTTTCATCTTTGTGCCCTCGATAAACCTGAGCGACGCATTCTATCGCAGTCTATGAGAATTAAAGTTGCACAAATAGCGGATATGACTGCTGCCCCTGTGTAGCCTAAGTACTGGGAGGTTACTCTGTCGTCTCCTGCACATTTTAGTGTTGACTTGTAGGCTATAGCATAAAAAATAAAGAACAACAATATCAGAGAAGTAAATGATTATAGGTTATTTTAATGTCACTGTCGTGACTTTTGTGTGACTTTCATTGTTAAAATAATGGGATTTTCCCTCGTTGATAAAATCACTTGCATTTAAAATATCCCCAAAGGTTCTATTTCGTACAATGTGCTTTATATGCCAATTTTTGCGTACATTTAAGTAATTAACCATCAGTAACAATTTTGATACATAAAAATACTTAAAATTTTAAATACCCGTCGTGTTTTTGGGATCCAAAGCGAGCGCTATCTTGATTGTTTCTACAGACGTACTATTGAAGACCCCGGATGTGATTGTGTTTTCTGTTGTTGGACCACATAGCGGAAGCATGGAAGTTGTCGTGGGTTCAGATGTTGTAGTAATTGTTGTACTTTCTGTTGTTGTTGTTACTGTTGTCTCTGCTGTCTCTGTTGTAGTGGCAACTGAGCTTTCTGTTGGTGAAGGCACAGGACTTCCTGGTAATAATTTGAGATAAAAATCTTTCAGATATATTTATTTGCTGGCTTCTATAGCATTGCAGATGTTAAAATTAATAATAATATTGAAAACTTTTCATTCAAATTCAAAGAATTAGAAAGGATTTTCAAATCTTTTTAGCTCATTTTTACAAAAATAAAATACGGATAAAAAATCTGGCATACATTTTTTCTTTTCTTTAAAAAGTCAAATTTTTAAAAATTGATATTTTTAACCTCTTCAATATTTATATACATCAACCGTTAACAATCCATATAGATTTTTTTGAAAACAAATAACCTGTTCCATATCGAACACAGACAGCCCCTCGTACATTTGTTGAATCTTGCCGGCAGTTAACATAGCCAATGCTCAGACTATTTCCGTCCAGCCTCATACACTTCTCTGGAGTCGTACTCCCTATTGAGGTGGACAGGAAGTTTGGTTCATTGTTCCAGTTCCACTCTTTTCCCCGAATTGTGTTTGACCCCATCCACACCCCTGTGCTTGTGACACTGTTGGATCTAAATATAAAGAAAATCCGTGAAACTTCCACCCAGAATCAACATATTGTGGCACAGTTCCAAATTCACATACCGATTTTGATCCTATGTAATCCTGTTATTTAATTACTAATTAATAACTTACCAACATAATAATATTTGTTTAATGGCTTAATGCATTGATTAAGGGAAATGGTTTTTCCTAAGAAATAAAGGAGAAAATATTCAATGGTGATGTCCAGGAGTTTAAATGGGGAGGAGTATGGCATCTATTTTGTAAAAATAAAGAAATCTATCCGTCGATGTATATTCTTTAACAACTTACTAGATATACATACTGAAAAATAGACGTCAGTGTCTGTTTGATGAAGGTCATCTGCTCTTGGTCTATGGCGGGAGCCAGTGTGCCTCCTTCTAGAGTACACCGATAGAGGGCGTCCATGGCGTTCCATCGCGTGCTGGATCGCGGTTTTGTGGTAAGCCAGTAACAGTGATTTCTGTTGACGCTGTCTTCAGTGGAAGCCCAGTGGAGGCAGAATTCTGGAATATAAAAAGGAAACTGCAAAGATGAATTTACAGTACAATGAAGAATAGTGCAGTAAGAAAGAAAACTTTTTTTTTAAATTATCATTTTCTGCATTAGCTTTTTACAACTCGAATTATAGAAATGTTTTGCCCCGATTTTATCTCTTTTTTGGACGTTAGGCAGGTCATTCAACGGCAATTTTTTTAAACAAAATAAAAAATTATTGTCAAGATGAAAGTCAAGCTACTTCCTAAAAGCAAATATTGATCTACCATAGATAAAAATCATATATACATGTGTTACACTATTTCATCTCTAATAACTTCAGATGTATACCTTTCATAGCACTTCTAAAGTATATCTTTTGTGTCACTCGTATCACTTGAGATGTGAACATTTTGTGTCATGTTTGTATCATTTGAGATGTGAACATTTTGTGTGCATTTTGTAATGCTTTTGCGCCAGTAGAGATTTACACGTTTCACATGAGATATATATATCATTGTACTGGAGTTGTGTACCTGTTGCGTCAATTGAGAAGTATTATATAATTTTTCCGTCACTTGAGATGTATACCTATGTATCACTTAAAATCATTACCTTAAATGCATCAGAAATACTGCCTTGTTGTGACACTTGAAGTTAATACCTGAGAAGTATACCAGTTTTGTCATGTAAGATGTATATATTTTGTCATTTGAGCTGTATAACTTTTACATCACATCAGATGTTTATACCTTTTGTATACCTTTTCCTTGACTTGAGATTTCTACCTTTTGTAGCTGTTGAAATATATACCTCGTGTCACTTGAAATATCAGTTGAGAACTACAGTTGAACTTCGGTATCTCGAACATGGATATTTCGAATACCATGGATATGTCGAAGTCATTTTGAAGTCCCAGCTACTTATTCCTGAAGTATTTTACCCTGAATATCTCGAATCCTCAGTTATCTTGAAGTATTTTCTCGGTCCTTTCGAGTTCGAGATAACGATGTTTGACTTTATTTTTGTGTTATGTGGGATGCATACCTTTTGCGTCAATGTAGCACAGCATGGCCTTTGTCTTGTAGTCTGAAAAACAGGATTTATCTTGTGTTTTGTCAGGTTTGAAGTAACTGTGCGGTTCCTGGTCAATTACAATGCAATTCTGATTATTTCCTCCGTTTGGTTGTCCATTGTTTCTATCGAATGTGTTTGTGAATGAACTATCGATTACCGTGCCATCCAGTTGTGTCCAAACATTCTCCTTCCCAATATCGATAACTCCTAAGAATGTCTCTGGTCTGTAATATTTTAAAGCAATTTGACGTACATGTATAATATACATAAATATACTTAAATTCATTACCTTGATTGATCCACAGGCATGATTTTCGTCACTATCATAAGACACTGTACATGTGATAGATACGAAAAAAAATTTTAAAAGGCGTTTTCTATCTATCCTGTGTCTGCCAGATATTAACTAGTTAAAATACTTCAGGGTTTGACACTAAGGCACGTCCGACCGACCCAGTCTAGTAAATGAGTGGTCCGGTCTTGTCAAATGTTTATGAACTAGACCGACTGGTCGTGTGGATGAAATAAATGTTAAACATCATTTCAGTCTTTCAAATAAACTTTTTTAAGAAATTTTCTTAATTTTTCGATTGCAATTTTAGACAGCATTGCTTTGAAAAGGAAAATTTCCCTGCGTGACACAATCGCTATTTTTAGCCCGGCTAAAATAGAACAAGCATTATCAATTGTATAAATAGTTATCGAATAATATAGTCTTTAATGTAATAATTTTATTTAAGTTCCTTGAATGTTCTTTAGAGCTTATAATGTTCCGCTTAACCTGACTCAGTGGGCTGCGACCTATAGATCAGTCTGTCAAAATGTATACTTTAACACGTGCGACGGAGAGTATGGTTTCGAAATTTTTTTTATTATAATAGCAGGTTATGAAAAGAAAATTTTCAAGTTTTTTCAGGGCTAGTGATTTTATGGTCAGGGCTAGTAAAAATTATGGGAAGTAGCCCGACTGGTCTAGTACTCATAAAAGTTAATGTCAAACCCTGTACTTGTACAATTTTTCCTCCCAAACTTATCGAGTCAAATCAGAAATTATCTTTATGAAAGTTATGAAAGCAATAAAGGATAAAATTCGACGAAAGCTAGATTTTAATTTGGAATTGTATAATTTTCATAAAATAAAGGAAATTCGTCTACCTTTTGACAAGTACTAGTACAGTGTATGTACTATTATCAATACAAGTATTTGTAGAGTACAACTTGGGTTCCCTTCATCCTTATGATATCATAGTTGAAACAAATTCTTAATATTACTGAATGAGCTTAGAACCTTTGTCAAGAATGAATATTTTACTCTTCTGTTGAATTAGTGTTATTTAAACTATCTCCCCACACCCGTTTGGCCCTAAAAGACTACATAAGGAGAGCAATCTCAAATTTAGACGGCATCTCGTCAGCAATTCAACACAAACACTCAATCACATTCTGAGAACGATAGGTTAAACTAGCATAAGTTTAAGATAGTTAATTGGATAGGATAGATAATTGCTGCTTGTGGAATGAAATACTGTATTCTTTGCCATATCAAGATAGAATAAATAGTATATTGTACCTTTTTTTTTTTTTTTGTTTATCCCCTATATAAAAAAGTTTTAAAAATTAGACATGCCAATTTTACAGGTTATTTCAGTTTGTGTTTCTCATCTCACCTATTTCAGATACCCACCCATTTACGTTTTCTAATGGAAAATAAAAATAATTTGTTATTACATGTAATTCCTTATACATGTGTGTCTAATAACCCCTTCGTATCAAAATGTTCCTCCAGTCAATACTAGTACATAAAGCTTAAATTGTTAAAAATATTAGGAATACGTGGTAATGCAAATACATATAAATACTTTGTTTTTAATTGGAAAAAATATCAAAATAATCAGAGGAATTTCTGGTTAAAGATAGTCTAAAGAATATCCTCAATTTGTAAACATTAAGTAACTTATTTTATTGATAGCATTTTTTTTTAAAGAAATATGTCTGAGAAGTCAGTTTCAAAAACAAAAAAATGTTTATTTTTTTTGGAAGCAGATTTGGGTGATTAGAGTGTAATATGTGAGATCTTTGGCCGTTACTTGACGACAATTGAGAAAATATGGTGACCATGAACTGACATGTACAAAAATAAACAAAAAGAAAAAAGATCCATGGATGACATATACTTTTTTCATTGATTTTAAGCTTTCACAGATATTATTTACTGAATGTTAGACGAAGTTTTTTTTTATATGTAGAATAGCAATAAATGAAGCCAGGAATAAGTTACATCTATACTAGGGATGTTAGAAAAGTTCGCGGACACATTAATTTACGGAAAATATATAATATATTCTTTAAAGTATACAATAATTGTGTACATTAAAGAATGACATATGTCTAATTAAATTCTTATCTTTTTTTATTAGTATGTGAAAAATCAGATTCATCTAGTAATTTTGAAAATATACAATGTTTTTTTACTCTGCAGCGGTCATAGGATTCAGAGAGCATCACTTGACGTTTTTTGACGTTAGATGATGTGACAACCTGATTCCAGACCTGTTAAGCTGTTTTCACAGTTCTAGATGTCTTCCATTTATATAGACTTTTCATGTCTTTTTCCACAGGGACTTGAGACAATTTTAGCAAAATCGGGTATATAATATGACAGGGGACCTGATAAAATAGAGAGGAGATTTCTGGGAAATACATTCAAAACGCTACTCCTCCTACAGTTTCGGTCTGATATCAATATATCTTGGCACACAAGTAGACTACACAAATATACATAATTCTGTTTATCGGTTTTTGATTTCGAGTTCAATCGGGTCAACCATATTGAATGAAATCCGCACTGAATGACTAAAGTTTAAACGCTGAAAGACGATTGAATAATATTACTAGTTGTTTACGGAATCAATGGCTGACCCAATTGAACTCGGAGGCTAATCGAAGGTGAAAATGGAGCTGATCTCTCGAGAGGGACGATCAACGGTCCCTCAAATATTGTGAGAATGACCAAAAGCAGTTATATTTTTAAACGTTGCTCTAAGATAGAGTGCAACAGATGACAAGTGCGGAAAAAATTAAGGTAATGCACGAAAATTGCATGGAAAAAATGGTGTAGGGTTAACGACGGCGACCTTATTCTCGGAAGTTCGAATATTTTTTTTCTAAGTTTAAATGAAGTAAGGTAAATGATCAATTTATGACAATAACGGACAACATTCTGCCTTTCGACTGGCAAAACTTTTTCATGGTTTTTTTCTGAATAAAAATCAAAATTTTTAGAGTTTGAAGCGAGGCACCGAGGAATTAATGGCGGCTCGTTTGGTCCTTCTCCCCTATTATACTATATACCCGATTTTGCTAAGATTGTCTCAAGTCCCTATGTCTTTTTCTTACTTAAAAATTAAATATCGATATCAAGACGCTATATATATATATTTTTTTCTAAAATGTCTTTTGTGACATATCGGATATTAGTGAGATCTTATAAACAATGTTTACGTAGCTTAGGGATCAGGTATGAGAAACAATACAAAATCATGTTCAACGTCCATGCGATAACCAGGATATTGGGGTATCGCAGGAGTTGATAATAAAAAACGTTAATCCTTCCCTTCTTACAAAGTTGCTACCACCTGAACACTTTGATACTAGATTTATACGTGTAGATAATCCCCAGCAGCATCTAAAAGACTAAAAACATTTTAGTCTCTTTCGGGCATTTTCCTGCCTGTGTCGCATAATTTACGTTCCGGGTAACTTAGCGTTCCGGCCGGAACGCTAAATACCTATAATATTGGTTCCGGGCTATAATAAACGTTCCGGCCCGCGTAAGTTTGGTTCCGGCCATAATAAACGTTCCGGGCATCCAAACACCCTCTTAAAAAATTTATTTATAATTAATATTTACAAATAATTTGGATTTTTTTTCTCTTAACGGGTTATACGATGCAGCAGCATTTAAATGTATATCGATTTAGAAGAAGTCCCAATATACGGTCTTAAATTAATACATGTACCAATACTATAATCCATGGGATTATACGTAACTATGTTGGTTCTTTGTATAAACAAAAGGAACGCGAAGGTGTGAAACTTGTTTACATTGATATATCCCATCATGTTGTTTTATGACTCCCTTCTATCGATACAATATGCAGTCATGCGAATCGCTGTACATTGTATGTCATTTCCGCAATTTTAAAGGAGTTTTAGGCAAGGGGCACCCTGATCAGCTGGTAATGCTGATAGATGAATTATATTTACGATTTAAAAAAATTATTGGATAATATTTTAATATCTTTATATATATTTTTTCAAACACCCATTGCGTTTTTGTAAAGCCAACTATATCATTAAATCACAATACATGAATGAACTTAATAGGAGATGTATGAGCGAAGGACTTGCAAAGGTGTGAATAGACATAAAATTTCAGCGGAAAATTTATAAAGCATTTACTTTGAAGAAAAACAATTTCCTGTTATAATTCAATAAAAATTTTTGTGGATTTTTTTTTTCTCGGATAAAATTTATTTTTTAAACAATCAATGTAATGCCAGCAAAGGTTTCGACACAGCTAAAAACTATATTGAATAAAACTCAACTCATTTTTATTTATACAGGTAAGTGCAGGTATCAGCATTTGTAATAATAACTCTGAGCAGGAAATGTAATACAGATACAGATTTGTATTTTACAATCCTGAGAAATGAATAGTATTGTTAAGTCTGCGCAAAATCCTACACCCTCCCCCCGCAGGGGGCAGAAAACTTAGCCCGACTGGCTAACGGAAGAGGCATAGATATAATAATATTTTACATAACAATTTATTGAGTGTCCTTATGTATTTTGATTTCCGCTTAAATATCACATTTTTCGCTAAAAATACCATGTATTCAGAACTGTTTTGTCACCTACCTCAATTTTCAAAAGGCATATCTGAATGATATATATATAAATAAACGAAGTTTCAAAACAATAATTACATGTATTTGGAAAGAAGAAGAGATTACTCTGTAATTCTGTTAAAACATGTTTTCCGCTATAGAATGCAGTGGAAAATGGAAAATATCCCCCTCCCCCCGTGAAACGAAAATGCGGCGTGTAGTTTTCGTCAGTTTAAAACTGCACAGCTCCATTTCAAGTTAGTCGAATTAGGTTTTCATCTTATAATCTTGAAAATGAGACAGGACGACATAATAAAATACTTAGGGAGAGTGGA